ACCCTTTTAGCCAAGTGTGACTTCTGACACCACCAGAGGTGGGCACACCGGAAGTGGGGCTAATGGGTTGCTGTGTCCCCCTCCCTCACATTGTGAGTGTGCGCCACCGTACCCATATTTTTATAGCAAACTCCGTAGCCGCACGGTTGAGACCTGTAGTGTTTAGAGCGTTGGAGTGGACGCCGAGCTTTGCGAGGTCACAGCTGACCTCGCCCAGGGGAGGTCACCGGGGAGCAGGATGCCTGCGAGGCTGCAATGACCCACCGCCTCGTAGTTTGGCTCCCACGTAATGTTTCATCTGAGAAAGGACTCCAGGGCTGCCAAAACAGTTTGAAAAGTGCTTGACTCGCCCAGCAGGGAAGGGACTTGCTTGTGGCCCTACGGCAGAGCTGGGTCTGTCACCCATGTCCCTGCCACTCACATCGTATTACCAATCTTTCCACTTCACTGTGATTATTTTAAAGGTGTATTACACGTATACTATTTATTGCTGCCTCTCTGGAGTGCTTGCAATCAGAAGCCTAGTAAATTAGTTTTTTTAAAAAAAGGCATTTAAAAAAGTTGGTAGTATACTTAAGATTAGAAGACTCCTTCTGGAAAAAAATAGTTCCCTCCTGGAGAGCTTCTGGGACTGACATGTCCTCCCCACAAAGAGCTCGGTTCCGTCCACTCGCTCTGAGTGAAATTCCCCAGTGCGCAGACTATCTGAACAGCTTGTTAAAGTCTCATTTGTAGAGATGAATGACAAACACAGGTTACTAGACATTAAAGGAAGCCTCTAATATATTTTTAAGTCTAAAATGAAAAAAAGGAAACCCAGAAGAAACAAAATGAAGGAGATAAAATAATAATAATAATAACACAAGAACATAATCAGAATTAGGGGATAAGAGTTTCATATTGAAAGAACTCACTAAGTGCCCAGCACAATGAATGAAAAAGAATCCAAATAAGGCTTCTCGCTGTGAAATTTCAGAAAACTAGGGTTAACGAATAAAATCCTAAAAGCTCCAGAGAGGAGAATCAGCTCCCATACAAAGGATCAGGAATCTGAATGTTATCAGGTTTCTCAGTTGCCATACGCAAAGTGAAATGCCAGTGAAAAAATACTTTAGAAATACAGAGGAAATTATTCTCAGCCTCGTGTTCTATACCCAGGCAAACTATCATTCAAGTGTGAGAATGGAATAAAGGTGTTTCTAAATACTCCTATGCTCCCCTTTTCCAGAAAGCTGTTATAGGATAATGTTCCACCAAGATGAGGCAGTAAATCAAGAAAGAAGTTATGAGATCTAGGGAACAACAGCTTCAACACAGAAGAGAAATAAAATGTCCAAGGTGATGGTGAAGGAAAGTTCTAGGAAGATAACAATGGAACAAGCCTAGAGAGCAGCCAGTAGCAGAGAGACGGATGCTCCAGGAAGTATCCAGGAGGGGAAATGGACTTACAGGTTATATGGTGTTTTTAATCAGATTGAGAAAGATTTCAGGGTTTTGTCTTAGTTTGGGGAGGATCTAGTGATAGGTACGTAAATACTCAACAAATGGGGGAAAATGGCAATTAGCACGTCAAGAAAAACAAAAACTACAAAAAAAAAAGAAATAATATATTACATGGCTCTGCAATGACCAGTATTTTTGTAGATATAGTAAGGTAAACACTAAATATTAATTTAACAAAAAATGTGATTTTGAATATCTTGAGAGGATGAAGAGGAGAAGTATGTTTGGGAAGATAGAGAGTTAAATCTTTGTGTTCTTTAATAAAGTCAGGAGAGCCCGGCCAGAGTGGCTCAGTGGACTGAACGTCGTTCCGTGGACTGAGAGGTGCCAGTTCGATTCCCGGTCAGGGCACATGCCTGGGTTGCAGGCTCGATCCCCCATGGAGTGTGTGCCGGAGGCAGCCAAATCGATGTTTCTCTCACATCGATGTTTCTATCACTCCCTTCCTCTCTCTCTAAACAATCAGTAAAAAAAAACATTTTAAATCAGTAGATAATGTGTGAATAAGGGGATAAAATGTTTGTGTAAGAGAAGAGGAATATAGAAGAGCCAACTTATTTTTCATAGTAGGAACATGGTAGATGAAGTCTACTACTGGAAGAGAAAAAATAAGAAATATTAATATAAGTATTTTTTTTCAGAGATATGGAGGTAAAAAAAGAAGCAGCTAAAAGCAGTTACTACTACCCTGGCTGGTTTGGCTCGATGGTTAGAGTGTCGGCCCACGGACCAATAGTCGCAGGTTCAATTCCATACCTTGGTTGTGGTTCACCCCCCACCCTGGTCAGGGTCGTGCAGGAAGCAACCAGTCGATGTGTGTCCTATCTCTTCCTCTCTCTCAAGATAAATAGAAAAATGTCCTCGGGTGAGGACTGAAAAAATAAATAAATAAATAAAACTCAGTTGCCACTGAGGAGCAGAGAACTTGCTTTTCCATTAATAAGCCTTATAATAGTTTCGACTTATTAAAACAGTACATGTACTTTATTTTAAATATTAATTAATATATTTGTAGTGTGTGTACATTTCTTTTTTTATTGTTGACACTTTTACAGATGTCCCCCTTTGCCCCCCATGTTCTCCCTTCACCCCACCCCTCCATCCTTCACCACAATGTTGTCTGTGTCAATGGGCTATGAATATATGCTTATATGTTCTTTGGCTAATCCAATCTTGCATTTTGAAAATTAAAAGGATGACACAGTAGAACAAATTTGGAGTTGTTACTAGTTCTAGTCTTGGCTTTGTCCATCAGCTCTACGACCTGAGGCAGGACACTTGCTTTACTGAGTCTTAGTTTCTTCGGAAATGGGTTGGAAAAGATGATCTTCAGGGTCCCTTTAAGCTATAATATCCTAAGCTTCTGTGATAAAAAAAATAAATAAAAAAAATAACAGTGCGGTGCAGCAAATGAAGAGTTAAGACCTGGATGGAGGCTTGAAATGCCCACATTTTTTTATTTTTTTTTAGTTGAAATCAGACTTGCAGACCAATTTTCATTGTGGTCTCTGAAAAGAATTCAACACCCACCTTCCATTGTGGACCTGGGGCAGGCAATTGACTATGTACTGGCTCAGGGACACATAGCTTAGTGTTATTTCAGTATGGTTTTTTGATATTTAATATTTTTCAGTATGAATCACAGGTGAAATTTCCATGCCATGTGTAAACAATTTCACTTTTTTATTGAAACAATGAATTCAGGAATGTCATATTGGGATATCAGCCATTTTGCTTTTATCAATGTATGGAAAAAATGCTTTTATATTAATATAAGAAATGATGTCATTTAATGTGGAGTAGATCTTATAATTCAAGGTCAGCAAATCTCAGGAGGTGATTTAGGTCACCCAGCTAAGTTTTGGAAAAGGAAAAGAATATTTTCCCTTTGTCTTCTCAAGTGTTTTTACCAATTTTCCTCTCACTTTGGGGTAAATGGTGGAGAAGCATGGTTGTGAAAGGAGGCTCTGGCTGATTATATCTTTGCCATTGAAGTATGTGGTCCTTTCTGGGCTTCAGCTTCCCCATCTGCCAAAGGAAGGGATTGGCTTAAATAATATTCAAGATTCCTTTTAGCTTTAACATTCTGTTTCCACTGCCTTGCTTTATGGAGCATTCAAGAGACCCGATTGGGTTTTGGGGTTTTCCTTTAAAAGTCCGGGATGGTGAGAATGAACTTCTCTGTTAAGTGAAAAACCAATTGAGTACTAGATAGAAACAAAAGAAAACTTACTTTAATTTTGTTGTTGTTGTTGGTCGTGGTTTTATTTTTTAAGAAAGGAAAATATTTAAAAGTTTGACTTAGTCACTTTTAAAGTTTGGTGCTAGATGCCCCACCGGTGTGGCTCAGTGGCTGAGCATCAACCCATGCACCAAGAGGTCACCAGTTCGATTCCCGGCAGGGCACATGCCCGGTTGTGGGCCAAATCCCCAGTAGGGGGCATGCCGAAGGCAACCAATAGATATTCTCTCGCTCTCCCTAAAGATCAATAAAGAAAAATGAAAATAAATAAAGTTTTATGCTAGAAAAGTAAAATGTCAGAACTAATGACCCTTCACATTTGTACAACAATATACAGTTTACAAAGTGCTTTTTTTATTATACATTATGTCGTTTGAAAAATACATTTCCACAGGGCGTTGTTGCATACTTACTATGTATTTGATATTATGTGTGTGAGCATGTGTATGAATAAGCACATGTACCTATCTCAGATCTTACTATGGTCAGTTATGGAAGCAAGTGGTGATCAGAGACAGAGTGAAAGGAGGCAAGGACAGACAGGTGAAAATCACTTAGCAAGTTTCCCAAGTGAAAAACCAATTAAGAAGGATACTTCATTTTAGAAAATCAGTCTCTAACAGAAATAAGTGAAGTAAGTGCAGTGGAGCCTACAGGCCATAGTGTGCTCGTGCTAGCCCTGCAGTTCTGTGCTCTCCTCTGGGTAAAGGGAAGTGCTCGGTGCAGGAGGAATGCAGAGCACAGCCTGTGTCAGAAGCGGCTTGCTGGTTATTTGTTCAGTAAGCACTGACTGAGCACCAGCACTACGGCAGACACTGTTGGCAGTCAGATGAATGCGATGTGATTCTTCCCCGTGATTATACAAAGGGAAGGATCCATGAAAGAAAGGCTGAATGTGCTCAGAGTGTATAATGCCAGCCTTCAGTATCTGCAAAGAAATACTGTTTTTATGGTATATGTCCCTGCAATTGATGTTAACAAATCCTACAGGGGTCTTTGAAATATCCTGATTCCACAAGTAGGTCATTCTTAGTCTTCTCCAATTTTAGGGGACAAGGAAGCAAGAAATGAAAAGGCTACTTTTCAACACCATCCCAAAAGTGTGGTTAATAATATTGGGATCATACATTTATATTTCCTCTGTTTTAGTTTTTAAAAAAAAAAAAAAAAAAGACATGTTTATTAGATCTTGTTCCTGAAGCATTGCCTAGTATCTATCAGAATTTCTTTTAAGTCTATTTTTCTGCCTATGCAGCTAAGATATCAACATGGACTTGGGACTCCAGACTTGAGGCAAACCCTTCCTAACCTGAAAAACTTCATGGAACATGGACTGCTGGTCAGGTGGTGAGTACCATTATTTCTGATCCTCAGAAACTGTAATGTACATAATAATCCTGAGAAACTTTTCTAACTTCCACACTGCTACACTCTTGCCTTCTGGATTTTCTGTGTAAGCTATCTGAAGAAAGGAAGGCAGCCATCGTACTTTTGCAGGTCTAAGCTCCAGTCTGGCAAAGGAGGGTGAACCCTCGGGAGGGGAGAGGGTTCAGGGGGCATTGTTTGAATATTGGGAGGTTGGCGGGGCAAGCAGTCATTGAGTACATTGCCACATGTAAACTAGTAAGTAGGCAGAGACATGAAGTCAGCTGGCCCCACACTCACATGGGCGGTAGAGAATTAGAGGGGTCCCCCTGAGGAGCATGGGGGTCTCAACCTCTTGCCGGGCTCCCCAGCCCAGAGCACTAGGGCCAGGAAGAGGTGCCCACATAACATCTTGCTGTGAAAATCAATAGGGATTCAGTACGCAGGGAGATACGGGAGTCTGCTAGTATCCCAGGTATCCTTCTAAAGGGCCAGCACACAAAATCTCTTTCGCAGATATTCACCCTAGGCTCTGGCAGAGGGAGCGTGGTTCAGAGCAAAGTGGAATTGTGAGAGGACAGACTGAGTTGTGTGGCTCTGGGAAGAGAGCTGAAGGACAGCTGCCAGGTCCCTGTCCTGGGTCCCTCTCCTACACCTCCTGCAGATGCCATCCTTCCTGGGTCGAGTACTCCCTTCCATGTTGCATCAGCCTGGAGGAAAGCGCTAGCCCCCACCCATCTGACTCCCTGTTGCCCTGCCCTGCTGAGCTCATGCCCTAAGGAGTCAGCTGCCTGGGCCTGGATATCAGAGACTGATTTGTGTGGCTCTGGGGTGGGGGCAATTTTTCCCTTACACACCCTGCTGGTGCTACACTTCCTATGAGCTTTCTTCACATGACCAAATCTTGGTCTGTTTGGTCCTGATAAACTCTGCTGGCCTTACCCTGACAACTCCCTGAGAACTACAACAGCACCACAAGGGTCTGCAGGCACTCAGCAGGTAGTAGCTAGTCTTGGTGTGCCCTGACACTTTGCCTCAGTTCCAGCACCGGCACTGTGTTTGAATCTGTATCAGTGTGGTATATACCACCCTTCCCCCCTTCCCTGGTGTCACACTGAGAACCTACCTTATGCAACTCCTGTTCCTCCAGTGGCTCTTCCAGTGACTGGGCCTAAAGGCAGCCGGCAAGGGGAGGCAGATCTTGGGGTGCCTTGGGTCTTTTGCTGACCTGCCCCTGTGCTCAGTGCTGGTGGAAGCCTGCCTTGGTGCGCAGCTTGACCCCTCCCACATACACACGGTCCAACAGAATCAGCCACAAAGTGTGGATAGCTTTGTATCTCCAAATAGGTAGCCCAGAGCCAGTCACAGGCAGCACTTGACATTGACCAGCTCTGGAGTGCACCCCCAAGAGGCTCCAGAACCAACACACCCAGTGGCCGATTCAGCCAGCAGAGCATGACCCACTTAGCTCCACAGGCAGCACATCCAAAGCAAGGTTTCAGCAAACACAGACCCTACTGGGTAAATTCCACTTTGTGTGGCCAGCACCCACACAGCAGCTCATACAGTGTGGTCGGGGTTGAGCCTCACAGCGAGCCAGCTTGAAGACCGACCCCACACATGGAGGGGCCAACAGCAATCAAGATTCAACTACAACAGGAAGGCTCACATAACCCACACAAGGTACACTCCTAGAGGACCAAGCTCAGGTGATCAGGGAGATTGCGCTACTAAGCTCCACCCACCACATAAGGCTACCCTACCAAGACTGGGAGACATAGCAGATCTACCTAATACACAGAAACAATACAGAGAGGCCAGCCAAAGTGGGGAGACATGTAAACATGCACCTAATGAAGGAACAGGAGAAAACCCCAGAAAATTAACTAAATGAAATGGAGGTAAGCAGTCTACCAGATACAGAGTTCAAAACAATGATCATAAGGATGCTCAAGATACTAGGGGAAGAAAGGGTGAACTCAGTGAGAACTTAAAGAAACAGATAGTGCCCTGGCCAGTTTGGCTCAGCAGTTAGAGCGTCAGCCTGTGGTCCAGAGAGACCCAGGTTTGATTCCCGCTAAGGGCACGTATCTCGGTTGCAGGTGTCTCCGGCCCTGGTTGGGTCGTGCAAGTGGCAGCCACTTGATGTGTTCCTTTCACGTCAATGTTTTTCTTTCTCTCTCTCTCTCCCTCCCACTCTGTCTGAACGAAAAATGAAAAAATGTTCTCGGGTGAGGATAAAAAAAAGAAAGAAAGAAACAGATAGTAAGCATAAAAGAGGACATAGATACCATGAAAAAGAACCAGTCATAAATAAAGAATATATCTCAGCTGAAGAATACGCTAGAAGGAATCAACAGCAGGTTAGATGAAGGAGAAGATTGAATCAGTGATTTGGAAGACTAGGTAAGCAGAATACACCCAATCAGAACAGCAAAAAGAAAAAGAATTTTAAAAAATGAGGATAGTTTAAGGGACCTCTGGGACAACATGAAGTATAACAACATTCACATTATAGGGATACCAAGAGGAGAGAGAAAACAAGGGATTGGGAACCTATTTGAAGAAATAATGACCTAAAACTTCCCTAACTTGGTGAAGGAAAAAGATATAGAAGTTTAAGAAATGCAGAGTCCCAAACAGGATGAACTGACAGAGGCCCACACTAAGATACATAGTAATTAAAATGGCAAAAGTTAAAGACAAAGAGAGACTCTTAAAAGGCAGCAAGAGAAAGACAATAACAACTTACAATGGAGCACCCATAAGACTGTCAGGTGATTTCTCAACAGAAATATTTCAAGCCAGAAGGGATCGGCACAAATATTCAAAGTGATGAAAAGCAAAGAACTACAAGCAAGACTACTCTACCCAGCAAGGCTATCATTTAAAAATTGAAGGAGAAATAAAGAGCTTCCAAACTAAGAAAAAGCTAAAGGAGTTCATTAGTCAAACCTTGGTTCTTAAGCATCTCCCATCTTGAACCATTTGATTCAGAACCAAGTTGTTCACGGAGAAAATGTCTCAGTTGTCTAGCAAAACTTTGGTTCTCGACCTGACAACCCTTTCATGCTGATACCTGTATGATCAGTTACACATCTCTCAGGCAATAAAGGAGAAAATGCACAAGTATGAGTCAGTTTACTGCTAAACCTCACATTGTTAACATGTCAGGAAATTGTGCTGTGAATATTTTTGCTTTTGTTGCTGTTTATTATTATTAAATATGTACAGTAAGTTACCATGTGTCCTAAGAAGATTAGTGATAGCAACAAAGTGAAAAGAACAGTTGTGAGAACAAGGATAGAGCTTAAAAAGGAAATAATTGCAGAGGTATGATAGAGTTATTCGCCTGTCTGATCTGATTACTAAGTATGGCATGGCAAAATAGATGAATAGCCAATTTTAAAACATAAACAGACCTTCAAGAATGCTAATGTTGCTAAGGGTGTGAAAATGCTCACATAACAACGATCACAGGCAATTGAGAAAGGTTGAAACGGAATCATTTGGGGGTTTGGAACGGATTAATTCAATTTACATTATTTCTAATGGGGAAAAACGATTCAGTTTTCAAACAATTGCTTCTTGAACAGTCTTCCGGAACTATTAAGTTTGACAACTGAGGTTCCACTGTACTACCAGACTAGTATTACAAGAAATGTCAAAGGGACTTCTTGGGGGAGGGGGAGGGGGGAGGAGGGACACAGTTATAAAGAATAAAATGGCAATAAATACATTCCTATCAATAATCACTTTAAATGTAAATCAATTAAATGTTTCAATAAAAAAAAAACATAGGGTAGCTGAATGGATAACAAAACAATACCCTTACATCTGATGTCTACAAGAGACCTACATCAGAACTAAAGATACACACAATCTATAAGTAAAGGGATGGAAAAAGGTGTTTCATGACAAAGAAAACACAAAGAGCTGGGGTAGCAATACTCATATCAGACAAAATAGACTTTAAAACAAAAGGCTAAAATAAGAGACAAAGAGGGACATTACATAATGATAAAGAGATCATCCAACAAGATGATACAACCCTGGTAACCATGTATGTACCTAACATAGGAGCATCTAAATATGGAAAGCAAATTTTGATGGACATAATGGGAGAGATCAACAGTAATACAGTCATAGTAGGGAATTTTAGCACCCCATTGATATCGATGGATAGATCTTCCAGACAGAAAATCAACAAGGAAACAGATGGATTTAATTAATATTTTGAGAGCATTCCACCCTGAAGCAGCAGAATATACATTCTTTTCAAGTGCATATGGCACATTTTCTAGGATAGACCACATGTTAGTACACAAAAGAAATCTTAATACATTTATGAAGATTGAAACCACATCAAGCATTGTCTCTGACCACAATGGTTTGAAACTAGAAATCAGTTACAAGGAAAAAACTGAAAAACAAACACATGAAGGCTAAAGAACCTGTTACTAAACAATGAATGGGTTAATCATGAGCTCGAAGAAATCAAAAGATACCTTGAGACAAACAAAAATGGGAACACAACAACCCAAAATTTATGGGACACAGTGAAAACGCAATCCTAAGAGGGAAATTCAGAGCCTTATAGGCCTACCTCAAGAAACAAGAAAAATCTCAGTCTAACCTTACTCCTAAAGGAACTAGAAAAAGAACAACAAACAAAGCCTCAAGTGAGTAGAAGGAAGGAAATTCTAAAGACCAGAGTGGATATAAACAAAATAGAGTTTAAAAAAACAATACAAAAGGTCAATGAAACCAAGACCTGGTTTTTAAAAAGTAAACCATATTGGTAAACCTTTAACCAGACTCATCAAGAAAAAAAGAGAAAGCACCCAAATAAAATCAGAAATGAAAGAGGAGAAGTAATACCTGATACCACAGAAATACAAAGGATTATAAGAAAATATTACAAACAAGTATATGCCAACAAATTGGACAATCTGGAAGAAATTGGATAAATTCCTAGAAAC